GAAAAATGTAATTTAACAACTATATTGTTCGGTAGATGAAGTTTATTATATATCATAATTGTTCTCAGTCAGCCAGGTTGACAAGAGCTGCATGAATTAAATTTCCTCATTCTCTTCTTTGAAATAGAGTTCAACATCCATAAGCTTCTTTCTGCTCATAGGTCAAACATTTTCACTTAAATAGGAGTATACTGTGTACATGACCTTATTAAAAGTTACAGTTTAATGTTCTGTTTTACCAAGTTTTTTCTCCTTTCATTTTTACAAATGATGGACACCCACAGCAGAGAACTTTAATCGAGGTCTTTTTTTGCTTGGTTGTCCACTGGACCACCCGGAGACAGGATCTGGTTGTCCGAAAGAAAAATAATTTGTCTCGGACAACCTAAACAATGGTTATGTCTACCCCTGGTTCTGAAACACTGCGTCTATCCATAGCTGTCCTAGTAAGCAAGAAGGGTTTGACAGCATGTTTTTTTTTTTGTTTATTGATTTAAAAAAAGAAAGGAAAGAAGATATTGTCAGGCCAGTTTTACTTATTGGACCCATACAGGTGTTAATGCTGATAAATCGTGCATCCCTACTGTCGAGAATAAAACATATCTGTAGAGTATGGCCTTTCAAAGTGAAGAAAATTAATCATCAATATTGTGGTTGTTGAAATAATAAATAAAAAATCATTAGAAAAGATGTCCGGAGAAAGAAAGAAAAAAGTTTTTTTTTCGTTTTGTAATAACATAAAAAGGTAAGTGAGAAACGCAAAGGTAACTTTGTCACTGTGTCCTCAGTTCACTTCATTACAAGATTTAAAAACTTCTCTCCACTGACAGGCAACAGTAAAGCTTTCTTCAGCCAAAAAAAGCTCCAACTGAACCCGGTGTTAAACAGATAAACATTTAGTGTACCTTTAGTTGTGCTTTAAATGAACTTTAAGGAAGCTGTGATTCATAAGGTTTATAAAAAGTCCCATGTGACACAATCAGCAGTGGAAACTTTGATTTAAACTCACCGTTCTTCCAACAACTTCCTAAACTTCTGTTTGGCCAGCTCCATCAGACCGTCCACCTCCTCTTTAGTGCGCTTGAAGTTCTCGATGCTGAAGGCGTACACCGTCACCTCTGGGATGTTGAGATGTTTGCACCAACGCAGCGTCTGGTGCGACGAGAAAAATTAATGTGTTAAACATGTAAGATGCATGAATGGGTTTTTTGGCATCAAATGAGAACCGACCTCTGCCAGCTTGTTGAATCCTTGCGTGTGGCCTTCTTGGCGTTCCAGGTTTTTCTTGCGTGCGAAGCGTCGGTTCCCATCCATGATGAAGGCCACATGTTTAGGCATCGGTCCTGCCTGGGACAGACGGAACAGAAAGAGTTAAAACTTAGAAATATTTCAACAGATTTGATGTTATTCAATACAACTCCTTTTTTATAGTCAATTTTATGCTTTTAATCATTTCTTTAAAGGGGCAATATCATGTAAAATCAACTTTTTTGAGTTTTATATCATG